CCAAATCCCCACCCAGTGGATACTAAAAGCTATGGATGCTCAAGTCGCCTATACAAAACAGTTCAGTAGGCCCTCAGTATCCACAGATGAGACACAGAGAGCCACCTTGAGTTGGCATTTACTGAACAGTCCAATCTCCCAGGTGGCGTCAGTAGAAAAGAATCTGCCTGCTAATACAGGAGACACAAGAGACATGGGTTCGATCCCTGGATCAGCAAGATCCCCTGGAGAAGAAAATGCCAACCCACTCCAGTATTCTCTCCTGGGAAATTGCATGGACAGTGGAGTCTGGCAGGCTACAGTGAGTGGGATCGCAAACAGCCAGACATGACTAAGCAACTAAACAACAACAACCAGTTTTCAAGTATCTAGAAGTCTCTAGATTCTCTTTGACTGGCTTTCCCTTCCCAGTTCTTGCAGACTATTGTTTTAAAAATGAAAGTTGCTCAGTCATGTCTTTGCGACCCAATGGACCATACAGTCCATGGAATTCTCCAGGCCAGAATACTGGAGTGGGCAGCCTTTCCCTTCTCCAGGGGATTTTCCCAACCCAGGTCTCCTGCATTGCAGGCAGATTCTTTACCATCTGAGCTACAAGCAAAGCCCAAGAACACTGGAGTGGGTAGCCTATCCCTTCTCTAGCAGATCTTCCTGACCCAGGAATTGAACCAGGGTCTTCTGCATTGCAGGAGGTTTCTTTACCAACTGAGCTATCAGGAAAGCCCTTTTAAAACTATTACCATTTACAAGTTGAACTGGTTACTACTTTTCATACTTAGCAATGAATGACAATAGTAGGTTATTCAAATGTTTATTTTTAAAAAATCAATGTAGGTGGACTTCCTTGGGGACCCAGTGGTTAAGACCATGTGCTTCCAAACGCAGGGGTGCAGGGGATGCAGATTCAATCCCTGGTCGGAGAATTAAGATCCCAAATGCAGCGCTGTACAGCACAGCAAAAAATATTTTTTAAAAAATGAAAGTAGGAATTTTGTTTAAAATTGCTTTCAAGTATAGATTACTTATTTTGCATAACAAACATGGAATATCTTTCTCAAATAAAATATACACATTCTCTAAACACTTTTATTACTATAAATTATTCTATAATATCATTATTTCCCCCTCCAAAGACATAGGGATTCCCTGATAGCCCAGTTGGTAAAGAACCCGCCTTCAATGCAGGAGACCCTGGTTCAATCCCTAGGTCAGGAAGATCTGCTGGAGAAGGGATAGGTGACCCACTCTAGTATTCTTGGGCTTCCATTGTGGCTCAGCTGGTAAAGAATCTGCCTGCAATGCGGGAGACCCCAGTTCAATCCCTGGGCTGGGAAAATCCCCTGGAGAAGGGAAAGGCTACCCACTCCAGTATTCTTGCCTGGAGAATTTCATGGACTGTAAAGTCCATGGGGTCACAAAGAGTCAGACGTGACTGAACGACTTGCACGTTCACTTTCACTTTCAAGACATGAGTCTGATGAAATCTTGGAATTGATGAAACAATGACCAGTTTTTAAAGTGAATATCAGTGCTTATTCAGTTTCTGAGGGATAGTCAAGATCTCAAATCCTAGCCAAAACCTGTATCATCTTAAACTGAAAGTTTAAAAGGAATAAACAATTTAGCTTCAAATGACTGTGTCATGTAAAATATACAGTCCTTTGATTATTTTGTCTGCTCAAAGACCCTTAAAAGATACATAAAAACTCCACATGTGTGTGTAAAATCCTAACTTTAATTTCGTAGTCCAAGTGTGAAATCTCTTATTATTTGAAATCTGAAACTCATTTCATAGACTGCCTAGGAAAGCTTAAAGAAAAAACAGGATTGGTCCTGACTCTTCCTTCCATTTGAAGTAATATTGCTAGCACTGCATCTTTAATAAACAGAAAGTCATCCACATATAATAGGATCTTATTAACCACATTCCAAATCTTTTTTCTTCTGCCCCACATACTGCTATCAGAAAGGCATTCAAACAGTGATAAAATGTAAAAGGTAGACAGGAGGTTGCACATACTCTTTAATATAAGGATCGGGGGGACACCTAGACCTACTATGTCCCATAAATATTATTATATGTATATGTCTATATAACTCAGCAAAGGCACACCATCCCTCTTTAACTGATGCCCTTTTTAGTGTCCATTAGCAACGGTAAAGAAAATGCACTTAAGGAAAGAATATTCTCATGAACCCAACAGATAACATTTTCAAATTAAAGTCAACAGGCCCCATCAGAGCTACTGCTCAAAATAAGCATTTTTTGATCAATTTGGTTTTCTTGATGGTTCCAGTTTATTTACTGAAGCAACTGTTAGTTGTCCATCTTATTAGAATTTTAGTGTGTCCCTATTAGTACAGATATTCATGTTACAAGAAATTTAAAGGATGTTGTTTAAGAATCTTTAATCCACTCTTTTTCTAGATGAAGGTAAAATGTCTTTTGGAACCTGAAGATGTACTTGGGGGAAAAAAAAAACATACAATGCATTCACATTTCATTTACACATAGCAGTGTTTTAGTTAAAGCGTCATCAACATAGGTATTTTTAATGTTTAGGTTTAATATATGATGGGAAGCAATTCCTCTGTGAAGTTATTCAGATATGTAGTAGGTTCTGACGACCAATTAGGATGGAGGGTGGAATTTCCCACACATCCAATAATTTTGACACCACTATCTACCCAGAGATAACATCAGATTCCACAGGTAAAGGGCTCAGCCTCACAAAACTGTCCCTCTCTTTAGATGCCAGTCGCAAGCTTGGTTGAGGCTTCAACGTTCTGATAAGACTGTAGACCAGACCAATGGCTTGAGTCCAACCTCAGAAGAGTCAGCCAGAGACTCCCAAGTTAAGACTGCCCAGATTCCTAGCCCAGAGAAACAGGGAGATGATACATGTTTATTGATTTATGCTGCTAAATTTTAGGATAATTTGTTACCCAGCACTAATACAGCCAATACAGAGCAATTATTTAATTTCTATTACAGAGTAAATCATTTCCTTTACCCTTGGAGTTAGGAGTCTGTCTCGGAATATTATATGGAAATACACAACAGGCAACCAGCTCAGAAAACAGAGTACTGTGTCCTTGACCTTCACACCAGAACATAAATCAGTTAATCTACCAATGTCAGCTTCCCATGGCTCCTCTAATGATGCTAATTCTCCTTTTCTTGAATACATTCTGGGAACTAGGAATACAAAAACCCAAACCTCAAGGTATACACATTAGTTTTAGTCTCCGTTTTTAACCTCATAGCAAATTTTCCTTCCTGAAGCTCAAACATTATACTGTATACTCCTCTCATTATAGCACTTAGCTTTCTTAATCGTATGTTTAAGTGTCTGTTTCTCAACCATTTCTCCCCTAGTGCTTTTTTCAATCTTGTATCCTCTGTATCTAGTACTTAACACATGGTTGAGACTTAGTAAGTTTGAATGAATAAATGCATTACACAAGCGATGAATGAGCAAGCAAGCCAACAGGCAAGAGAATCGGGACATAGGAAGTACCACTTGAATGTGTCAGGTTGTTATTAATATGAAGGTCCAGGTACACATCAACCACTCCTTCTAGCTAAAATGCTGTTCCGGGGACTTCCCTGGTGGTTCAGTGGCTAGGACTCTGCACTCCCAATGCAGTGGGCCAGGTTTGATCCCTGATCAGGGAACTAAATACTGCATGCCGCAAATAAAGATCCTGCATGCTGCAACAAAGATTGAAGACCCCACATCCCACAACTAAGACACAGCATAGCCAAAAAAAAAAAAAAAAAATCCAAAGTAAATAAATAAAAAATTTAAAAGAAAATGATCTTCCACTTGCACCCACCCCCATCTCCAATTCCTTGTCAGAATTTTCACTCTTTAATACTCACCTCAAAGATCTGTCTGCTCACCTCTACACACACACACACATGTGCACAGATGTGTGTATGTGTGTGTGCCAAGGCAGACTTCCCTTTCTCTGCTCTAAAGCCTTCTCTTCATATTCCCACAGCTCCTGGGTATACCTTGGATACTGTACTGTAGTGACTGATTATTCGCCTGGCATCTCCACTGTAAGCCCATTGAAGGACAGTGTCTTTATATGTATCTACATGTCCAGCCATCAGTTCAGTGTGAGGTAGCAGTGGGTACTCAAAAACAGTCTGAATTAATGAGTAAGAGATTGAATGAATCAGGGGTAGAATTACATTTTGAAAAATGATCTCAGCATAGTCTGTTCCAGATAAAATGTCAATCAGGCATACATACTGTTCTAACTCCTAAGTGGAGTAAAATGAAAACAATTATGTATCACAATAATTTCTGATATAAGAAAATTAGAATTTAAAAAAGTGCTCTAATCCATGGAAAGATTCCCTATATTATCTCCAGATGTCACAAGTGAATCTGCCTCTCAAAAATCACCAATCTCCCCCTCACAAAATGCTGATATGCCTCATGCCCTCAGAGTCTTGAATCACAACTGAGCAAACTAGAAAAATAACCTGATTTTATGAGAAAATGGGAGCTCCTGGGTTGGTGTTCCCATTTTGACAGGTATATTTTTCTTGGGCAATGGCTTAATTCAAAGCCTCACCAGAAAAGACATTTGGAAACATGGGACCTTTCAGAAATTCTCCAATCATTCCATTGGCAGCTCCCTTGTGGCACTAAGGCATGGAACTTGCCGAGAGCAGGGCTCCTAGGCCAGGCTGCCTGGCTTAGAATTCCAGCTCTTCCACTCTCTGGCCTTCTGACTTTCGGCAACCTCACTGATGCCTGAGTTTTCTCTCTGGAAAGTGAAATAAGACCTACCTTTAGAAACTGGTAGGAAGATAAAATGGGTTAATTCAGGGAGAGTACTGAGAAATGCATCCAGTAAGTAGAAAGCAGTCAATAATTGTCACCAGTAACACTATTACTTCACTCCTATTATAACTGGCTCTGAAAAGCCTGAAGAGAGAAATTCCCCAAGACAGGAGGGGGTAGGGAGGGTGCACTTACTGATTTGGTTGTTCAGCTTGAATGCAATGTCCAGCTGCAGGATAAATAGCATGAACTGGAACCAAGGACTCATCTCCATGGAAGGGAGGGGGATGTGGACAGAAAACACAATGTCATTGGCTTCAATTTCCCTTGGAATCGCTTCCTCGATGTCTCGGATCTTGTCACATTGGTTGGGTCCCCAAGGCATTAACCATTTTGCCTTGTGATGGTTTTTACGAACATCCACGCATTTCACTGACATGTAGGATACTGCCGTTGTGGGTCCTGGAGCTGAAAAGAGAATGTTTTTCTGTTTTAGAAGAATCATCCATGCAAGTACCTAATTCTGGCTAACATTCTTTCCACAACTGTCCTCTCCATTTTTCACACTGCCTTCCATAACTTAGGATCATTAATATCAAGTGTTAGTCGCTCAGTTGTATCCAGCTCTTTGCGACTCCCATGGACTATAGCCCATCAGGTTCTTCTCTCCATGAAATTCTCCAGGCAAGATTCCCTTTCTCCAGAGGATCTTCCCGATCCAGGAATAGAGCCTGGCCTCTAGGTCGCAGGTATATTGTTTACTATCTGAGCCACCAAGAAAGTCTATTAATACCAAGTGAGTAAAAGTTACTCAGTCATGTCCAACTCTTTGCGACCCTATAGACTATACACTCCATGGAATTCTCTAGGCCAGAATACTGGAGTGGGTCGCCTATCCCTTCTCCAGGGGATCTTCCCGACCCAGGAATCAAATCAGGGTCTACTGCATTGCAGGCAGATTCTTTACCAACTGAGCTACCTATTAAGGAAGCCCTATTAAAACCAAGAGATCTTCCAAATCCAGTGAGGATCCTTCAGTGATCTCTAGAGGTGCCATAATACCCAAGAGCCTTCTCATTGTATTCTTTCAGTTATCTCCTCACGCCAAACAAATGTCACAAGAATCAACTATGCTTCACTTTCACCTGCGTGAAGGCTTGGAGGGCACTGGGGCTTCACAGAACAGTGTCTGAAGTCAGGAAACCTGGGGTCTGAGGCATGGTCGAATGACTTATTCTCTGGTAATTTGGAATAAATTGGTTAAACAAAGTATATCGCTTCAGGATCCTCATCTGATAAACAAGATGGTTGGCTTCTAAAATTCAATCAAGATGGTTGGTTTCTGAGGCTTTTCTACACTCTGAAATTCTACAACACCGCTTTTGATTGAGAGAAAGAATTATTTTGACTTTGGGATCCCAATGAAGGTACCTATCAGAGAGTGGGAACCCAAACACCGACTGGACACTTGAGGGATATACTAAAATATGATCCCTGAATTTTGAGAGGGATCATTTGATAGAACATTAACAACACAATTTTGTAATTATAAAGTGGCCATATCGCTATAAAAGAAAATTTTCAAAATACAGAAATGTTGAAGTTCAAAACAACATTTACCCAAAATCCCACTTGAGAGAAGGAACCACTGCTGTAAAAATATCAAAATATTATGTTTTTTCTATCAGTGTATACTAAGATAAAAATTCATAGAGGAATTAATTTGTATAACTTTAAAATACATACTAATATTAACATATGTTTTTGTAAAATAGGGTCATACCATACATAGTTTTGTAGCGTTTTCTTTTCTATTCACTTAGCAAAGCAAAGTAGCACAGTGGTAAATAACACAACCTGTGGAGCCAACCTGCCTGGCTCTGTCATTTCTGGTTGTATCACCATTAATTCAAGCTAGTAAAGTTAGGGGTGAATTTCTAAACCTGTGTGTGTATCACTTTTACTATCTCTTAAATGGCAATCCTAGTAGTAACTATCTGAGTCACTTTATACATTAAACAAGTTGACATATGAAAAGCATTCAGAACAGTGCTTGAAAGTACATGAAAAAATACAAAATTTTAGCTGTTATATGTAAGTATTTTCCATATAATTAAAAATTTTCATCTAGTGGTTGCAAAATAATCATGTGATATACCAATTTAATTTACTTACAACCGAGCCCCTTGGTCTGAAAAGGTTGTCTATAAATAAGAATAATTCTTTACCTAATATATTTTGTTAGTAATTTACCTCAGTTCTTCCATCTGCTGCCTTAATTTGTTTATGGCATATTTTAATACTACAGAGAAGTTCCAGATCTCATATATAATCTCTCCTTTATATTTTTTCCACTCTTCTGTATATAGAGAGATTTTCTAATTTCCAGATTCAGTAGTCACCTTTTTACTTTCTATTATTTTTAACAATTTCATTTTTTAAAAACTCTTAAATAGTTGATCCACTTGAAATTTGGTTTGCTCCAAGGGATAAAGTAAAAATCTAATTTTTCTAAATCTTTAAATTATTCCTTACTGAACAAATGCTTCTCTTTTGTTGATTTATGACAGCACCTTTGTCTTATGTTTACCAATAGATTTTTTTCTGGACAACCTACTCTATTCCATGTACTGTACTTTTTTCTTTTTTTCCATGTATTGAACTTTAAATTCATGGCCCAACCAACTGATTTTAAATCATGTAAATGAATGGTTTATATCAATATCTGATAGAGTAAAACCCCTCCCCTACTTCATTTAATATTTGTATTTTTTGTTGGATTTGACTGAAATTACAATAACTCTATAAATTAATGTGGACAAAGTCAGCCTCCTTTCCCAACACTTAGCTTTTTCACCCAAGAACAGAGATTATGTCTCTATTAAATGTAGTCCATTTTGATATCTCTGAAAATTTTCATTGTTTGCTTCATGTAGATCCTTCTATTACAATATATTTTTAAATCTATTTATAAAGCTTTTCTCTGAAAGTAGTGAAAGGAAAACATAAATTATGGTTTATGTTCATGATTTAAATATCTTTAATTTGGTACATATGATACTTGACGTACTGTGCTTTCAGATACTTAATGAACAGAAATCATCTCTTATTTGGAAGAGATCAAATAGCAACTAGTGGAATATGTAAAGTAAGAAAAAAATCATTTATGACTCAAGAGTATGTATTATTTATTATTAATACTTTGCCCTACTTCTAATACTCAAATACACATTTTTCTATCCCTAAATATCCATCCTAATGGTAAATTTTGAGTAGTAAAATGTTATATTCCCAGGAAGTTGGGATAATACCTACCAAAACTTATCAGAAAACATAGCACTGCTGAACTCTAGCTGTAAGCCCTTCAGTGCAGTATCCTGAATACTGCAACACAGAGCCGTCACTAATTCAAACCAGAGAAGTTTTTCTTTAAAACTCAAAATGTATCATGAAGACATTTTATACCTAATCCATCTGAAATCAGACATCTTACTTATTATTAGAAATATGAATCGATCAAACTTTGGTCATCCTGACTCAGCTAAATAGTCCACCAACATTACAAAGATCAAGTGGCACATTTAACTAAACTCCTTTTAATGTGGTTAGAGGTATAAACAGGGAGACGAAAGTCATGAATTCTATTTTTGGCTAACACACTCAAACTGACTATTTGCTGCAGAAAATAGTTACTACATTTTAAAACTTCTATTCTTCCAAAATGAACCTTTTTTCATTTCTTTTTTTTTTTTAATCCTTTTGAAAAACAAGTCACTCTCTTCTTAGACCAAAATGAAAAATAACTATCTGAGTTTCTAGTTAACCTCCAAAGCCACATTCCAAACTTTAATAACAGAGAAGCTGAACACTTTACGGGCACAAAGGCTGCATTTTTAATGGACGTGGTGAACGCCTGCCTTTGTAGCAGCCTGAATTATTTTCATTCTTTCATTAGTCTAGTGTTTCTTGCAGAGAGAAAAATATCCCAGGAATACTAATATTTTCATAAACATTATAACTTGGAGAAGTCACAAGTGCATCTCAAGCTATATGAGAATCACAAGTATTTTTCTCCACTTGAGTAAATCTAGTCTAAAAAAACCTTCTGCATAACTTTAAAAACCTGAAAATAATTCAACATTTTCCATTTCTAGGAGTGCTCAAAAGGAAAAACACTTGTTTGAGAAAGTAAACAGACATGCTGATAGTTACACAGAATAATGTTTCCTGAATAATATATTTACAGTTCAAGACAACTTCCTACTCCAGCTAAAAGTAAATTTCCAGGTGTTTCTTAAGTAGAAAGCATATCAATGTAAACCAAAAACAAAGCCTACAGCTACTAGCTGGCTGGCTACTGTAGCAGGTGTTTTCATCAGCTATGGCCAAAACTGACTACGCAGGTCACAAAATAGTGTTTAAAAGTCAAAAGAACTCTGATTTCTGTCTTCAAATTTTTTTAGAATTGTGAAAGATTTTATTGTAAGAGAAAAGAATGAGATGGGAGAAGCTGAAATTATCTGTAACCTTTGAACAAGCCCCAGTTGACTAACCAACAGTTATACATAAGGAAGGCCTCAGTTAGTCACCAGCGTGGTTTTGGGGATTAATAGTTTGTGTATTTAAGAAGGGGGCTGGATGGATTCAGGTCAACAAACTGAGTCATGTTTGCTCAGGTGAAAGCTAAAAATAACCACTCCTCAGTGTTCCTAGGATAGTAATATAATATCACCCAGCTGCCTTGGCACACATTTTAAATGTCCCCTCTACCCATCCATATAACATTTAGTCGAAAACAAGTGGCCCAAAGCTACTTCCACATCAGTACAATTTAGTAGAGCCATCAGACCCAAAATGAATATGCCCAGGCACTGTGGACTGGTTAGTCTATGCGGGTTAATACCACTCTCCCAGGAAGGCACCGAAGCTACTCTTTGAAAATACCTTCACAAGCTACCCTTTGAAAACACCACCCCATTTTAAGACCAGTCCTCTTTACCATGTCAAACATAAGCTGTATTTTCTACTTTTTAAATCTGTATTTTAACACAGTACTTTTGGCCTCCACCTCTCCACTATAATGGAGAACTGTGAAATCTGACACTATACAACCTTTAGTTTTAAAGTGATAGAAAATCAATAAGACTTCTAATTCAAGGCTGTGGAAAACTGAACAAACACAACTTGAAGCCTCTTTGAAAAGTTGGTGACCTTTCAGTGAATATATTACTAAGGGTCATATTGCATTCACCAAATATACCTTGAGTACTTACTATACATGAAGTACTTAAGTGAACCTAATAGACACCAGCCACGTGGAATGTAAAAATAATGGGGAAAACAGACAATACATAAATAATTACAGGAAAAAGTAATTATAGCTGTGGTGATACTATATTTACCCTGACATTACCTGAGAAAGGGCAATAGTTGGATATTTGGAAGCTAGGAGAAATGAATTCACTAGA